GAGCTTTTTCCCTTCCTAGGAAGTCAGAGACAAACTAAACCCTAAAGCCAACCCTGACCATAGGCTGTGAGGCCCCACATGGGCTGCCCTGGCACCTCTCCCCCTCCCCTGCCTCATTTCCTTCGACTCACCCCTCACTCACTCTGCCCAGCCACACCTGCCTCTCTACTTTTCCTAGAACATAACAGACCTGCTTCTACCCCAGGACCTTTGAACTTCCTGTTTGTCACCTTCTTCCCCCAGACTCACCTAGTCTCCTCTGCCACTTCATTTAGGTCTCTACTCACATGTTACCTCTTTAGACAGGCCTTCCCTGACCCCAGGATCCCTCTTCTCTTCATGTCCCATGTGTCATCATCTGGAAATATTATATGCCTTTATTTGTTAAATAACAAATAAACACCTCTAGCCTGAGAACTCCAGGACAGCAGGCACTGGGTCCATTTCCTTCTTCACCACAGCCTGAATATGGGCGTCAGTGTCCGTGGGGTGAATGGCTTTGTCACCGAAGAGGAAAATGAGGCTCAGACAAGTGAAATCCATTCCTCAGGTCACACAGCAAGTCAAGGGCAAAGGCTGGATTTGAACTCCTACTCGGGAGTGAAGACACTGGGCTCAGTGGCCCCCCAAACTCTATCCTCACTCGGTCAGTTGGCTGTTCCCTGGGCCCATAGCCCTACCCGCTATTCAGAGCCCACAGTCATTCTGCGACTAGTGAAAGAGGGGGTGCCAGGGGTGCCTGGGTGGCTCAGTCAGTTAAGCGTCCGACTTCGGCACAGGTCATGATCTCACAGTTTGTGGGTTCAAGCCTCACATCGGGCTCTGTGCTGACAGCTCAGAGCCTGGAGCCTGTTTCAGATTCTGTGCCTCCCTCTCTCTCTGACCCTCCCCTGCTCACACTGTCTCTCTCACTCTCTCTCAGAAATAAATAAAACATGGGGCGCCTGGGTGGCTTAGTCGGTTAAGCGTCCGACTTTCGCTCAGGTCATGATCTCGATGTTCGTGGGTTCGGGCCCCGTATCGGGCTCTGTGCTGACTGCCAGCTCAGAGCCTGGAGCCTGTTTCAGTCTGTGACTCCCTCTCTCTCTGACCCTCCCCTGCTCACGCTGTCTCTCTCTCCCCTAGAAATAAGTAAAAAAAAAAAAAACATTAAAAAAAAAAAGAAAGAAAGAGGGGGTGCCCTTTCAGCCAGGGCCCAGGATTGTGGTTTCAAGGATACTCCCCTTTTCTCCCTGCAGATGTCAGAAGGTGCTTCTCAAAAACACCAGCCCCTGGCTGCCCCACCCCAGGGCAGCCATCCGGGCCTTCCCCCAGCCCTGGGGAGGGCAGATCTTACAAAAGTTTAGGAAGGAAAACACGGGGTGCAGGAAGGCACCGTGGTGGGGCCCCGGTCCCACAGCCAGTCAGTGGGCAGGGCTACAATCTGACTCTCACCCACCAAGCTGGAGTCCGGGAGACCTGGGTTTTTTAACCCCAAGTCTGCCCTTCCTCACTGTGTGACCTTGGCCAAGCCCCTTCTCAGTTTCCTGGGCAGGAACAGAGCGCCAGAGGCACTGGGGGTTAACACGCAGGTCAGTGTCGGGAGGCCGCGGGGTGGGCAAGCCCGTCGGCGAGCCCAGAGACTCCGCAGCCTCAACTTCTCCGTCCAATTCCTCGGCATCCGCCAGGCGGCCGTCTCCACCGCGCTCGGCTGGATGGGGAAAGCCGCCTGGACCCGCCCGGGTAGCGCGAGGGCCTCACCCGCAGCCCGCGCTCGGTCGGCCAGCCTGGCGCCCACTCTCTGGGGCGCTCGATAAGCATGAAATAATAACCTGGGGCGCCACGGTAGTGGCGGCGGCGACTGTGTTCCGCTCGGGAACTAGAGTCCCACAGGCAGGTCCCGGACTCGGAACGCACGTTCGGCCTGTGCCTTTGTCATCATCCAGCAGAGGGCGCGCGGAGGGAGGGGCGCGCGGAGGGACCCGCTCCCAGAACCCAGCCAGGGATAAGGGAGAGCCAGAGATGAGGGGAGGCGAGGACCCAAGTGGAGACAGAGGCCACGGGCCAGAGAGCGACCCTAGTTCGGCTGCCTCCACCCCTTCCAGGGACGCTGCAGCGCCCTCCCTCGGCGGGAAGAGTTTGGGGGTACAGAGGGGCACGGAGTGGGGTTAGGGGGTCGGTATGTTGGCCCCGCCCCCAATTCAGGCAACCCCCCCCTCCGCCCCCACCATCAACAGAGTCTTTCTCTTCCTCCAGCTCCATCTGCCTCTTGACAGATCGTGGTGGCTCCGTGACTCAGCCCCGCAGGGCGCCAGGAGCACAGGCTCCTACATCCCCAGGTCTGGAGGGGGGCTGTGGATGCCATCTCGGATGGGGGGCTGTGCCCTCTCTCCGAAGGTGCCTGTGGCTCAAGTCTCGAGGGCTGTCTGGATCCCCTTTTTTGGTGGCTGCATGAACTGCAAGGTAGGTAGCCCTGGAGCGCCCAGTGTGCACTCAGAGAAACCCCTTTCTGGAGAAACGGCCTGGCAGAAAGCCAATTCCAGAAGCAAGGTTCCCACTGGTGGCGTATCGGTTTCCCCTTCCTCCTTCTGCCCCAGAGTGGGGGTAGGACTCTGGCACCAGTGCCTTCCCTCTGGCCACAGCCACTGCGGGCGACACAGGCCCGCAGTGAAACAGAAACCTGCGCCCTGCCTGCCGCCATGCAGTTGAGGTTCCTGTGTTTTCTTCCCACCCTGCGGGGAGGGGGGGGCGCTACCCAAGCCCCACCTTCTCTCCCTAGCGCAGGTCCCCGAGCGACTTTCTACGGAGCATTCACCCTGTGCGAGTCCTTCACACGTGTCCCCACTGTCGCAGAACTCTCCAGCACTCTCCTCCCACAGAGCAGTGCCAAAGCCCTACTTTACAGACAGGGAAACTGAGGCTCAGGGAGGGTAAGACACTCGGGGCAGGAAACCAGGCATCAGACAGATGGGCGTTGGGAGCTCAGCTTTGCCATTTCCTGGTTGTGTGGGCTTGGGGAAGAAGGAGAAGGGACTCTGCCCCTCTGGGCTGCAGTGTGGCCAACAGCAATACCTGATGAGACACTGGAGAGGAAGGCGTGTAGAACAGTCCCCAGCACGGAGCCGGGGAGCGAGCCATTACGAGATAGATGCCACTAAGATAATGATGATTATTGCCACTCAGCACGTCCCCAGGGAGTCAGTACCCCCAGAGACCAGGGTAGGGGGAGCCCCTGGGGCCTTAAAAAGGAATAGGGCCCCCGTTCCTACCGCACCCCGCTCCTTCACCGGTCTCTCAGGACAGTGACCTGAGCCAGTTTGGCACCCAGCCCTTGGTCTTGGCATTTCCTGTTGATTCCAGCTTTGTTTTCTTTCGGCTTCTCTCTGGTTCCCTTTGGGAAACAGCAGGCTGTGTGTGCTGGGCCCATGACACTTGCTTCCTGCTGGGGGCAGGGGTGCTGGGTCTGAGTATGTCTTCAGTGGCGGTAGGGGGTGGTTCGGGAGGGCTGCTGGAAGTCCCCAGAGAGAGCTAGAATTTTAGGGTCACAGCCCAGAGGGGCCTCCCTCGTGAACTCCAGCAATAAGAGGCCGGAATTTGACCTTCTTAGTGACGTCCCAGGCAGAGGGGCTCCCATGGGGGTCAAAGCACACAGTCAAAGCCGTCAGTCACACATGTCACCAGAGCAGAGTCAGACCCCAAGCACCACGAGAGCACACACAGTGACCGAGAACACCAGGTAGGTGGTGGAGGAGAGCACACCAAGCAGATGGGAGCACACTCCAGAAGTCAGAGGACTCCTGGGCACAGGGAGTCAGTGTCTCTGGGAGCACAAACAGTCCTGTTGCCACAATCACATTGTCCCAGAACACACACCTCACGGAGCCACCATCACTGCACCCCAGGAGGGCACACTGTCACAATCACTGCCTCAAGAACACACGCAGCCATTGTCACAATCGCTGTCCCAGGAGCACAGTCACATAATCCTGGCCCCGGGAGCTCACACAGTCACACTGTCACAATTACTGTGACTCTTAAGTACACAAGTCACACTGTCACAATCACTGTCCTGGAAGCACACAGTCACTGTGTCACAGCTACGCTATGTTGAAAGCGCACACAGTCACGCTGTCACCATCACTGTCTCAGAAGCACACACAGTTCCAGTGTCATAATCACTGTCCCCAGAGCCCACATAATCCTGTGTCACAGTCACAGGGCCCCAGAAGCCCAGGCAGAGCATGGAGCAAAGGCAGACCCAGCTAGTCATACCCACCCAGGTCGGTGAGAACACCACGGGAGCCGGCCCAAATCCTCCCCTCGCTCACACTGTCCCCTCCGGGAGGCAGAGGCTCCCTTCCCCTGTGCAGGGCTTGTGCACCCCCCAGGGCACTGTTCCCTCCCTCTGGGCAGCTACTGGACCTAACACTCCTGTCCTGAGAGGAAGCTCCGACCCGGCACACAGGCCCCCAACACAGTGCTCCCCCAAAAGGCCCCCTCTGGATTTCGGACCCCAGTTGATTTAGGGCGAGTCCCGCAAGGGTCTTCCACACCCCCCCTCAGGATGGCCAGTGCCCCTCAGCTCGGAGCCTAGGAATTGACCCCCTACAGTGCCCTCGAGATCATCCACAAGCGTCGTGAATCTAGCTGCCCATTCAGGGCCCCCAGGAAAGTGCCTTCAAGTACCCAGCCTAGCCACTGTTCCGCACCGTCGTCAACTAAGGGTACAGACTTCCAAAGCTGCAGGCTTGAACCGAGGCGTCGTTAATGCCACATGCAGCATGGCGCCCCCCAAGTCGACCACCCCCCAGAATCAGCGTCAGTAGGAAGGGTATTCGGGTACAGGGCACCACCAGGGTCGGGTCCCGGACGCCCCCACAGTGGAACTCCCCCCCCCCACACCCCCGCTAGTCACTCAGACTCCACCCGCAGCACAGCGCCCCCTGCGGTCAGCGCGGCGCGTTGCGTCCTCTCTGCGCGCCTATCCGTTCCACGCGCGTCCGCCGCCCGGAGTCTCTTACCGCTTGCAGCTGCCTCCGCTCGCGCCGCCGCTGCCGGTGCCGGTACCGTGGAAGGACGAGGGCCAGGACATGCGAGAAGTGCGCAGACCGGGCCGGTCGCCGGTGTCCACGGCGTCGGCGCGCTCTATGGGCCGGTGTGGCGGCCGCTCGGGCTCTGCGCGCTCCGCGCTGTCGGAGTAGCCGCGCTGCTGGATACGGATAGGGGTCCGCGGCTGCCGCCACAGGTGCTGTGGAGGCGGCTTCAGGGTGGCCTGGCCCTCCCGGGGCCCGGGCAGAGACAGAGACAGGCTCCTCTCCGAAGGGGCGGCCGGGGGCTCCATGGCGCCGGCCCCTTCCTGTGCCCCGGGGGGCCCCGGCCTCTCCGAGCTTTACCCTGCTCAGCGGCGCGCTAGCCGACGCGCCCGGGGCCCCGCGGGTGCGCCCGGCCTCGGTGGGGCCATGGCGCCCCGGGGACAGACCCGGGGGCGCTACGGGCCGATCGCCCCCGGGCCGGGCGCCGCGGCTTTCTGTCGGCTGCCGGCGCTCTGCTCCGCGCCCGGCAGCGCTCTCCGCGCTCAGTACCCCGCTCCGCGCCAGCCCCGGCTCCCCCGCCCCGTCCCGCCCCTCCCCGCCCCCCGCCCGCCGCTCTGTCAGCGCCGCCCCCCTCCTCCTCCTCCGTCCGGGCCTGCGGGGGGCTGCCACCCAAGGAGGGGGGCCCTCCCCGCCCACGCAGAGCCCCGCTCCCGGAGGGGAGGGGGCGCCGGAACTCGGCTCTCTCCTGAGCGCCCTGCCTAGCCGCGGCGTGCACGGGAACGAAGGAGTTAAACGGTTAATCCGATCAGGAAGAAGACACCCGACTGGTTGCTGGTGTGTCAGTCAGTCCGTCCATCATGGCGGGGGCGGAGCCCTATGCTGGCGTGTCCTCGCCGCTACCCCTGGCCGGGGGGGAGCGCGTGGGGAGTGGTCCCGGTGCCACCAACGCGGTCCCTGCGGCTGGCAGCGGCGATGTTCGGGGATTCTCCTGTTGGTGGGTCGGAAGATGGTAACGGTGTGTGCCCAGTGCGGGATGTGCGTGCACGTGGCCCCTTCCGAGGGTTGTCTGTGTTTTTGGTGTCGGCTGGAAGTGTGTGCGCGCACGTGGTTGGCTGCTGCGGTCTGCCTGTTTCTCTGGATGTCGCTGTGTGTGTATATCTGTGTGTCTGTGGGTGCAGGATGTGTGCGCACGTGTGCTGCTTGTTTGGAGGGTGTGTGCCTCTGTGGGGTCTGTTCTGGTGGCCTGGGGCTGTACATGTGTACCCACGCGTTTGGGTGTGTGTTGTGGTCGGTCTGTGCTTGCGGAGTTGTGCAGGCAATTCAGCCTCCGTGGTGTTTGGCTGTGGTATGAGGTAGTCTATGTGTGTGTGTGTGTGTGTGCGTGTGTGTGTGTGTGTGTGTGTGGTCGGCCTGAAGGCAGCGTTGGGGTGTTTCTGGGGTGTGTCCCTGTGGCTCCTGTGTGGCTCCAGGAAGACACCGCGGCTGCCCGCCCACCGCTCTGTGTATCGCCGCCCCTTGTAAAGCGTTTCTGCAGGAGGTAAACTGAGGCAGGTCCCCGGCAGCCGCGGGATGCATCCCCATGCCCTTTTCAGGCGAGTAAACAGCCGCGCCTCCTCTCCGCGGCCCCCGCCGGCAGAGCCCCCCTTCCGGCACCTAAATCGGGAGTCGCCGTGACTCACGCTCCCGCCTCCCCCAGCGCCGCGCCGAGCGAGCAAGCAGAGAGCGAGCAAGCAGAGAGCGAGCGGGATCCGAGCGCCACCCTCCCCCCATCTCTGCCGCCCTGGCCGCGACGGAGCCCTGGTGGTGGTGGCCCGGCTTTGGGAGCGCATTCGCCCGGGTGCCCCCACCTCCTGTGGCCGACACGCTCTTGGACCCTTAGCGGCTCCGGTGCGCGTCCCCGGAAACGGGTCCCCACCCCCGCGCGCCCCTTGTGGACTCCCCCGGGCAGGCCGTGCCGTCTGCCACCGCCCTCCTCCCCCCGCCCCCCCCGCACTGTTCTTAAAGGGAAAAAAAAAAAAAAAGCCCGTCTCCAACCCCCACAGCCGCTTTTCTCCCCTCCCGAGGGGGCCCCAGGCGTGGGCGAACGCAGAGCAAAAACCGGCCCCGCATTAGCAGCCGCGGGGTATCCCAGAAGCCAGAACTGTCTTCCCACTTCTCTCAGGGACCCTCCCCCCGCAGTATACACTCAAAACGGCTTTTAGGGGATTGACAAGAGCTGCGAATCCTCCCCAGATCATCTGAGGGTCCTGGGCTGGGCCAAATTCTTGGGGGGGGGGGGGAAGAGCGGTAGAGACTGTAGCGTTGGCCAGGGCTCTGGGTGCGGAACTAGGGCTGGGGGCTGGGGGGAGGGCTTAGGCCCCGGTCCGGGGTTGGGAGGGCGGTTTGCAGAAAAGGGGCACAAGGCAGTGGGCCAAGGCTGGTGTTTGGAGCTCTGGTCTGAGTCTGGGATGGACCAGGCTGAACCTGAACCTGGTAGAGAGTATTAGGATTATTCGGGAGGAGGGAGACGAAGATATGTTAGACCGAGGGAGGGGGAAATAACAGTCACTTCCTAAAAATGAAGCATTTTTACCATGACCCAAGCAGATACCATGGAGACCTCCAGTTGAGTAGATAAGGGGAGGGGAATAGAACGGTGGCCTGAGCAGGGCATGGGGGGGGGGGGTCTGGCCACTTTCAAACTCATCCTCAAGCCAGGTTGAGGGCTGAAGTGCCCTCGGAGGACCCCAGATGAAAAAGCGCAAGAAACTATGTGAGGCTGGGGCTCACATATACCTCTCGCATCTACTCAAGAGAAAGAAAACTGCCCGTCCAGCCTTCCTCCAGGGTCTCACCATCCGCTGTGAGGCCGGGAAGAAAGTGCAGCCTCCCAGGAGGGGAAATAGAGGTGCACAGCTGACTGGTGGGAGACCCACTCCCTAGCCTTTCCTAGCTCTCACTGCGGGGGCATCTTTGGGGACTGGAGGGCTGAAACTCTTTCCACAATCCTGCCTCTAGGATGCTGACTCAGCCACTGCAAAATGGAAGAGATTCCTAGAGGCCGCAAGGGGCGCCTTGGGGAAGGGGTGTCACAGCCTGACCCTTCAGCTGGTTTTGTGAAAAGCCAGGGGCCTGAAGCCTGCAAAGGGCTGGTGGCTGGACCTAGCCCAGCTCGCCCTACATCTCCACGCCTCCTCCCAGCCTGGTCCCCTCCTGCCTACCTGTCGGCTTTGGTGATGGAAATCCTTGGAGGGACCAGCAAGGGCAGCGTGGTGGGCCTTGGCGGCAGAGGGACACCAACGTCCAAGGGCTCGGTCTCTGCCCAACCCAGGCCGGGACCCGTGGAAAGGCGACGGCGAGGGCGTCGAAGGTCGGCCCCCAGCATGTTGGCACTGGTGGGCTCAGGAGTCTCCCGCAGCCTCTGAGGAAGGATAGGGAAAGAGTAAGGGCGCAGCCAGGCTGCTCTGAGCCCCTCCCTCCAGTAACACACTTCTCTAGACACCTGAGAGAGCGGCTGATGGAGATACAGGTTCCCTGTGTCCCTCTCACGCTGATCCCTCTTTTATGTCTAAGGGGCGCCTTAGCTATAGTTCTTGCAGGCCCTGGGGCTCTGGGTCCTTACGCCTGTACACGCTGTGCCTCACTGTGAAAACCCTCTAGCACATTCCCACCCTCCACGTCTACGAAGCCCCCTCCTGGCCTCACTGTCTGTGGCCCCTCCCCTCTTCACATCCTAGACCTTTAAGACCTTACCCCCAGCCCCCCTCCTCCACCCTACAATCCTCTCCCCGCTTGAGAAGCCCCTTGGAAACTCCTGCTTTCTGTCCCTGAGCTGAGAGCCTCTTAATCCAGGCAGCAGGAAAATAATGGAATCAAGGGTGTAAACTGAGGCACAGGCGATGACACTCCTCAGACTTGGGGACGTGAAGAAAACACTTAGTGAACGACCATGGTCACAAGAGGGCGCCCGACCCCTCTGCGGCCCAAGCCCCGCCCCCCAGCCCGGGCCCCGCCCCTCGCACCTCGTCCCGAGTCCCGGCCACAGACAGGACACTGCGGCTCCTCTTCATCCCGCCAACCTAGCGCGCCGTTGGGGCTGCGGGGGTCATGTCGGCCCTGGCCGGCGCCTCCTGAGGGACCAAGCCGAAGACATCCGCCATTAGGGCCCTGGCGCTCCCCCTGCCGACCGAGCCTGAATCCTACCCCCCTTGCTAGTTTCCTCTCCCGAGGCGTGACGTCACCGGGTAGCTGACGCACTGCCCGTCGGTGACGTCGCCCTCCCGTTGCCAGAGCGACAGCTGACGTACGGCTGGGGTCTGGACAGCGTCAATGCCCCGGTTGGCCACTGGGGGGCCGGGAGCCTCGGGACCGGGTCGCCCCAGCCCCCACTCGTCCTCCCGCGGGGGCTTCCCCGGGCCCGGGGATCCCGCAGAGAAGACCGGGAGCTCCCAGAGGCGGCCGCGTGTGGCGCGTGGTCCGAGCCGGGGGCCGGAGGAAGCGTCTCCTCCGAGCTGTTGGGATTTTATGCCGAAACCCGAAATAGCTCCGATGTGCGGGGGCCGGGCACAGCGAGACGGCGGCTTGGGCACAGATGGGGGACGCGCAAGCAGAGGCGCGCGGAGACAGACAGGGACGCGTGGAAATAGAAACAGACAGACAGGGACACAGACGCAGCTCCCGATGATGAGTGCGCTCTGCTGCCGGCGATCCTTGTCTAAGAGCCTGGGCGGGGGGAGGGCTGGTTCACTTCACCTTCGCCCCCCCCCACCCCACAGGTGTTGCGAATTACTGCTGCGTGGCCATGGGTCAGGGACTCAAACTCTCTGAGCCTCAGTTTCTCCTCTGTGAAATGGAATGATAATCCCCACAAGGTCCATGCGAGAATGAGATGAAATCAGAACATATTGAATTCTGACAGGACAGTGTCTGGCACTCAGTAAGCACTTAGTACTACCAACATCCGGGCCTAGGGGAGCCTGTTAGAACCCAAGTCAGATCGGGGCGCCTGGGTGGCTCAGTCGGTTAAGCGTCCGACTTGGGCTCAGGTCATGATCTCGCGGTTCGTGGGTTCGAGCCCCGCGTCGGGTTCTGTGCTGACAGCTCAGAGCCTGAAGCCTGTTTCGGATTCTGTGTCTCCCTCTCTCTCTCTGATCCTTCCCCACTCATGCTCTGTCTCTCTCTGTCTCAACAATAAATTTAAAAAAAAAAACTGTAAAAAAAAAGAACCCAAGTCAGATCATGTCCCTCCTCTGGTCAGAGCCCTCCATGGCTTTCACCTCACTCGGAGGAAAAGTCCTCAAGAGGAAGCCCACACAGTCCCGCAGGATGT